CTCAGTAAGCCTAGGTCACAACAGGAGGTGGACTTTGTGGAGCATATTGTATATCCTGGGGTTCTGGTTTTATTGTTGGAGAAATAGGAAACTATTGTGGGATTGCTAGAACTGAACCATACCTTTTGGCCATCTAGATGTGTAAGTTTTGTGATTGTATATGTGAGTGCATACCTGAGTGTTGCTGTTGTTTCCACTGTGTTGATTGTGGAGCAATTCATGCAGACTGTGCTTACCTATATGGCCCATGTGATGGCACATATGGACTCAGACAAAAGATGGATTTACCTACTGTGATATGTGACAAATGTGACCATAAGTAGCAATCTTGAGTGTTAGAGAGGGATTGTATGAGAATGTTGGTCATTCTCATGTTGGTCCAGACAACCTGAAGTAATCTCTTACAGAATTTATATAGGTCTCCCTGATGAAGTTATAGGGGATTTGGGAGAAATTGGCACATGTTGGGGTGAACGAGTGCATCAAATCACACTGAGTGAGGATTATGATACTAGAAAGAAAGGAGAGAAACTTTGTATGAAACTATTACTAGATCAAAGTGGCTTGAAAACCCTTGATCAAATCAAGAAACTTGAAAAAGCAGTACAGTCACCACTTCCAAAACCAAAACCAACAATACGATTACTTTTAGTACCTAATAAGTGAGTAAAACCAACCCCACCACCACCAGTTGGGAGAAGGTATACAAACACATGGGTGGAATGGGTCAATTATACTGTTAGAAGTCTGGGTCAATCTGATTGTTATGTGTGTACACAGGGAAGACCAATAGGGGATATAATACCCCCACCCCTTGAACAAATATCTTGGGAATGTTATCTAACACTCTTCCAGCATCCAACTGAATGGGGGAAAACAGTGTCAAATGTCAGTAAAAAGGTTTCCTTTAATGAGAAGTAGAAGCTTCTTAGAGGCTCCTACCTTTCAGGGACCTAGAAATATTACATTCCCTTTTTGCATAAACAGAACTATAACTGAAAACTCAGTACACCTGGGGAACCTATGGCAGTATGAGACTATTATTATGGGTCAAGATATGTCTGGAATTCATGGAAATATGTCCAATATACATGTTCCTAGCACAGATATTTGGTGGTATTGTGGAGGGGACGTATTACATCCCATGTTACTCTCCCATTGGGCTGGTATTTGTACAGTTGTCATGCTAAGGACCTCTGTATTAATTGCCTCTCTACATCCACCTAATAACAAATCTTCCAATTCAACTAGAGTAAAAAGAGTTTTAGCCACTTCATTTGATGACAATATATATATAGATTTTATAAGAGTTCCTAGACGAGTCCCAGATGAATATAAAACAAGAAACTAGATAGCAGCTGGTTTTGAATCATTTTTATTTTGTTTTTGGTTTTGGTTTTTATTGGATTTATATACCGCCCTACTCCCGAAGGACTCAGGGCGGTGAATAGCCACAGAATAAAACACATAAATACAAAAATTTAAAATAGAATAAAAACGAATTAAATAATTTGGCTGAGACAAATTTAAAATACCCAATAATTTAAAAACGAATTAAAATTTACATTTAAAAGGGGAAAAGATTTAGGCCAGGCAGCTTGATGAAATAAGAAAGTCTTGAGCGTGCGACGGAAGGTGCGCAGATCCGGGATCCTCCGTATCTCCGGGGGGAGCTCGTTCCAGATTGTAGGTGTCCCCACGGAGAAGGCTCTCCCCCTAGGGGCCGCCAGTCGACATTGTTTGGCCGTCGGCACCCGGAGGAGCCCCTCTCTATGGGAACGTACTGGCCGGTGGGAGGCTATTGGTGGTAGCAGGCGGTCCCGTAGATAACCAGGTCCTAAGCCATGGAGCGCTCTAAAGGTGATAACCAAAACCTTGAAGCGCACCCAGAAGACCACCGGGAGCCAGTGCAGCTCGCGCAGGAGAGGTGTTACATGGGAACGCCACATCGCTCCCATAACCACCGGCGCGGCCGCACTCTGCGCCAGTTGGAGCCTCCGAGTGCTCCTCAAGGGGAGCCCCGTGTAGAGAGCGTTACAATAGTCCAGACGGGAGGTAATGAGGGCATGAGTGACTGTGCGTAGGGAGTCCCGATCTAGAAAGAGACGCAACTGGCGGATCAGGCGAACCTGATGAAAAATCCTCCCGGTCACAGCCATTAAGTGCTCTTCTAAAGACAGCTGTGAATCCAGGAGGACGCCCAAGTTGCGAGCAATCATACCCCTTAGGCCAGTTGGCAAAGTTAGGTCTTTGATAACTTTTTGACAAATGTCATAAAACTGGCCAGCCTACATTCTAGAGAGAAGCTGTTTCAAATACTGAAATCTACCTGCAATTCTGGAGCAACTCCATTTTAAACATGGAATTATCTAAGAGTGTTTTAGTGGCCAAATAAAGAATAATAAAGATCTTGATCTGGTCAGTTGTATGATTGAAAGCACTTTAGATTTTTAAAAGTTCTGGAGAAAAAAATTCCAATTATTATTTAAATGCCAGTTCTTATGTGGTTTTGGATATTTAAGTTATGTGCTCAACAATTTGTAATATTTATTTGCTGCTGCTTTGGAACAGAACATGTTTGAGCAAAGATAATCTCATAGTAGCTCTGCTGAGTCAGTCCAAAGATCATGCTTACAATAATGACCAAATGAATATTTGTGAAACCTACACAGAGGAAACCTTTTTTTTTTTTCCAGAATTCTATCAGAAGGTAGAATATTGGGTTGGTAGTAGTAGGCACTAATAACTTTATTGTCTAGGAATACACCATGTCCCTTCTTAAAGTTTAAAGCTATCTAAAGCTGTCATGGCTTCAGAAATTGATCAAGATAAAGGTTGTGTATGCTCCCTACTCTTGACACAATTCATTATTTTATTTTGTTTTTGCTTTCAAATCAGTCTTGACTCCTGGGCAACTGCCTGGACATGTCCCTGTAGTTTTCTTGGCAAAATTTCAAAAGTAGTTTGTCACTGTCTGTTTCCTCGTGCAGAGTGGGAGTCTGTCAACCAGCTGACTTCATGCAAAAGATAGAACTAGCAGTCTCCCAGTTTCTTATCTGATACCTTAACCATTAAACCATTAAACCAAATTGTTTTTCTGATTACTTTTATACATTCTGTAACAGAACCCATTTTGTTTGAATTTGGTGCTGTATTGTTGTGAAAATTTTTTGCTCAGGTCCCCTTCCCATTTTTAAAAATTATGGGGAATCCCAAAAACAGCTTTTATCTGTCTAGATTATATTTATCAATATTTACTGTATTAAAAATTACAATTGAAACATTCATAGTCTATTTACTTAATTGTGTAAAATATTAAACCAACTGGGTATTAATATGTATATTTTTTCTGGAAAAATATCCTATTTTTTAAAAAAAGTAAAAATGAGAAGAGTTACATTGTTTTGAATTTTTGCAAATATCTTCAGTATCTGGAAAATAGTCTTGATTTCATGAATCCTTAAGAGGTCTCGAGGGACAGAGTTTTCAGATCACATTTAAGCAGCCCTGATGTATACCTAGAATACAATTTCAACATATCAAGGATAACATTGTATATCTGCTTTGTACTATTGCATTTCACTTACTGTATTGAGAGGTTCAAGATCTCACAGAATGACAGACCCTAAGTCACAGGTGTCAAACTCGATTTCATTGAGGGCCGCATAAGAGCTGTGTTTGACTCGGGAGGGGCTAGGTAGCCAGGGTGTTTGTGGCCAGTTTGACATCACTCATGTTGGGTGGCCCAAGCGCTCTGCCAGCAAAAATGGGCTCCTGAGGTCTGTTTCCGGCTCTGACGGCCTCCTACAACCCTCTGCCAGAGAAAACGGAGCCTGGGAGGGCCGCACACAGCACTCGCAAGCTGTTTTCAGCTGTGATGGCCTCCTGCAACCCTCTGCCAGGGAAAATCCCGCGGGCTGGATCTGGCCCCCGGGGCCTTGAGTTTGACACCCCTGCCCTAAATCATCCAGGAAGTGCAATGGCTGAAAGTGGACTTCAACCTGGTTGAGAGACCACCAGGAATTCTCAGAGCTGTAAAGGAGATTATGAAGATTGCAATGGCAAATCGTTACCCTATGGTCAGTGAGAAAAGAGCAAAGATGTGTCTGTACCCAACAGGTGAACTTCACTAGAGCAGCTGAGCTGTATTTTCAATAGGTTGACAGAGGTTAGAAGCATAAATGTACCACAGTATGTGTCAGGGCAAGTCTCTTAAACTGCCCTTCCACATACATAGAATTTTACACGTAAATGTACTGTGGACTGACTGGCCCAAAGTCACCCAGCTGGCTGTCATGCTAAGGCAGGAGTAAACTCATGGTCTCCACAGTATTAATGTATCTAGCCCTTTCAGGTTATGGAAAAAAGACGGAGTAAACGTGCATCGGATTTTATGTTTCTGTATGGACCCAAAAATAATCGAAGCCAAACCGAGAAATACACGCTAATAGAATGGCTGCTTTACTATATATTTTTTATTTTTATTTTTATTTTTATTATTATTATTATTATTATTATTATTATTATTATTATTATTATTATTCACGCAGAATGCAGTGCAATGCAAGAAGGCTGCAGCAGCAGATGATCCCCTCCCTCCCCGGTTTCAAACATGAACGATAGCGCGGGGCAGGCGCTCTGAGGGGAAAAAAAGGAGCCCCTTCCGTTGAAAGCCGCTTGCTCTGGGCGGCTGGGGGAAGTCGGGAGATGGCGCGAGCGCCAGCAGGCCCGGCTGGGGGCGCCACGTAGACCGCTCGCGCAACCGCAGCCAGGAAGCAGCTACTGCCTCCGCATAAAAAAGAAAGCAACTTCGAGCGCATTGGTTTGAAATGGCGACGTGTGGCGTGAAATTTGGCCTCGGCACTCAGGAGGCGGCGGTTTGGTTTCGCTAACAGAGAAAGAGGCGCGTACGGAAACGGGCGAGGGGGGGGGGTGAACGAGCGCAAGGGAAGGAGTCGCGGAGCTGCTTGGGGGTTGGGCGGGAAGAGGGATTTCTCGTCTGGCTTCCCCGGAAGACGCGTTCAGCGTGGCGGGATCGTTGGGAAAAAGCGGAGGGGACGGTGGCGGCTTCGCTCCGTTCTCGTCCCTCCTCCCTTGTTGACTCAGCGCCTCTCTCTAATCATGCTCGGACATGCCTGGCCGTTCCGCTTGGAGGAGTGAAGTCCAGACATGCCCGTAAACGAGGTCGCGGGGCTACTATTTATGCTCGGCTGTTGCGAGGCAGTTGAGACTCGCATAGCTGCAGGGCCCCTTACGGTAAGGTCATCGAGGTGCTTTGGGTTTTGCTGCCCTGTCGTCTAATGCACCGCCTCGTCTTATTTGGTTTTTTTTTTTCCTTTCCTCCCTACCAGGCAAATGTGCAATACTAAAATGGCTTCTGCGACCGACCAGCCTGCGGCTGGCTCAGCTGTCATTGACCGCTTGGATCAAGAAGGCCTGGTAAGCGTGAGGCGATGCCGAGGCCCTCAGGGATGGTTGCATTTTCCCGAAGTCCCTGTTGAGCGTCCTGCCGACAGGACAATAGGAAGGGAGAGGACGATTTTTACTGTTGTTTATTAGCTACTCTGTGTGTACGCATCCCATGTTGGGACGAGGGGTTTTTAAACGTAATCTTGGGGGGTGGGGGAGTTGGTTAAACAAGTTAGGTGGGTCACACGTTTTAAAGTTTTAAACCATGGTTTAGGAATTGCAATGAGGGATTCTCTCAGCATCCTGAGATCAGCAAATGACAGGTTGATTTAGCCAATGTGGGAATGCTGCTAATAGGTTTTTTTAAATTGGAGAACTCTGACCCACTTCATTGTTCAAAATCCTTTACATTGTCTCAGTTTAGAAATTCAGAAAAAAGCTACTGTTAATTTGCTTGGGAAAAATCCATTGGACTTAAAGAACATGCTTTTGTGTTATTATGCCTGAGATGATTGTTTACATGAAGCCAAAGACACAGTGAAAAAGCTATAAAGTGTGCTGGGAAGTTCAGGCTAATGAGATTTATCAGCATAAATTTCTCATGTGCAAGGTAGAATCTTGTCACTTGAAAGGTATAAAAAATTGCTAGGTGGAATTGCAGTAATTAAGTATTACTCTGTATTTGAGATGGTAAGACATTTTTGAGGCAAAGTGAAGATCTCTTAAAAATTTATCCTCATTTGGAGACAGGCTCAAAGCTGAAGATGCTATGAGCGGGTACCACTTTGTGGTGAACTGCAATTTAGATTGGATATAAGAATAATATGCAAACCTCACCTACCTACTTGTGGGTTGGTAGAGGGATGTTTTTAACTTCCTAGTTCACGGCTGAAGACTGGCTGACTAAAACTCATGCAGACAGTTTCCATTCTTAAGGGAAAACTGAAACTTAGGTCACCTTTGTCATTTTAAAAAAAAATTGGAATATATATGAAGCTATTCTGTTTGTATTGATCAGCTGTATTCAAAGCATTTTCAAATAGTGGCAACATAGTATCTGAGAAGCCCCAACTTTCCTTTAGGCATCAGAATAAGATCCAGTTGGTTGTCAAGGCCCATGTGTGGATGTTTTTCATTTCATGTATTTAAAGCTGTTCTGTTATTTATTTAGTTTTGGTTATATTATTGCATTTTACGTGAATATATAAAATATGTTAAGAGCCAGTTTCAGCCCATCTCATGATAAGTAAGCAGAATGTAAGATTTTAAATAAAATAGCATTCTCTGTTATTTGGCCATGATCTTGGGGAATGATAGAAACAAGTTTTAGGAAATTGTACTTTTTTTTCTCCTCCTGCTTTTAAATACAAGCCTTTTTGAGTTTGATCTCATAAAGATCTGCTATTGTTGAGCATATTAAAAACTTTAGAGCTAGGTTAGTTTTTGAAACATTTCCCATATTTTGAACAAGACACAACTAAACAAATTGCATCTTTGTTTATATTTTCAGATTAAACCCAAACCACTGCTTATGAAACTTCTACAGTTTGCTGGTGCAGAAAAGGATACTTTTACCATGAAGGAGGTAAATAGATTCATTGCAGTCAACATATGAAGTACAAATGATTTAGATATTTATTTTTCATACATTGAACAACATGTTGAGTTAATAGTAATGTGGCTGAAAAGTGAAGAATACTACACAGCTGAGATGATGGGTTGTGACTTTATCTTAGCTTTTATATATGAAAGCAAAGGCAAGACCCATATTCTGTTTTCCAAAGTTGCCCATTTTCAAAGAATTATTTTCTACGTTGGGAATATTTCTAATTTTATTAGAAATAATTCATTAATTTCTAATTTTAAAAATAACATTAGATTTTAAGATAAATGGAAACTAACAAAAATAATATTTAAGCTCAAAAATGAAAAAGGAGAAAAAAGAATGAAAAAGAAAGCAAAATCAAAAATGTAGAAATAAAAAGATCCTTTTGATTTCTTATTTTTAGATCCTTTTTCTTTTGATTTTGCTTCTTTTTCATTCTTTATTCTTTATAAATACAAATAAGTTACCTCCACCCTTCCTTTACAATAGGTATACATATTGACTTACATTAAACACTAAGTTTACAACATTAACTTCCATTTTTCTTTTATCTACTTTTATTTCTAATTTAATATTTTTCTTAATATTTTTTCTGGTTCATGCAAAAATCAGTATTAAAAGCAGTGCATTTTCTCTAATCAAAGCTGTCAATCTTACTAGCTGAGCCAGATCCATCTGGTGAAACTGTAAAAAACATTAATTGCAGTCAGGTGATTGTGGGACACTGCAAACAGTCATAAATGTCACAACTGCTCAGTGCAATCATATGTCTGCAGGGTGAGGGAAAGGAAACATCGGACTTTTAATCCTGGTTGTAAGTAGCTCTTTGGAGGTCTGTCATGACTGAGCGGTCATTAAATGATCAGTTATAAGTCAAGGACTACCTGTATTTCACTATATTATACCTTTTAAAGAATTATCCATTTTATTCGATCTTTCATCTGTCTTTTCTTCAAGGTTCATAAACTTGGCTTCAAGCAACTGAACCAATTTTAGTCCTGAAATCATCAAACATTGATTGCAATAAACTTAAAGGGATTTTCATTATCATTATCTTTTCTACTCTAACAGTTGTTCTGAAAAGCCTCCATTCTCCCTTTGCTTGCTGTCATTCCAGAGCGAAAGTAATAGGCAGAAAAGAAAACAGATACAGGTAGTCCTTGACTTACAACCACAATTGAACCCAAAGTTTCTGTTGCTAAGTGAAAAATTTGTTACATGAATTTTGCCCCATTTTATTACCTTTCTTGCCACAGTTGTTAAGTGAATTACTGCAGTTAAGTTTTGTTACATGAATTTTGCCCCATTTATTACCTTTCTTGCCACAGTTGTTAAGTGAATTACTGCAGTTAAGTTAGTAACACGGTTGTTAAATGACCTGGCTTCCCCATTGACTTTGCTTGGAAGAAGGTTGCAAAAGGTGATCACATGATCACCGCAACAGTGATAAATATGAGTTAGTTGTCAAGTGTCTGAATTTTGATCACATGTCCATGGGGATGCTGCATATGTAACTGTAAAAAACGGTCATAAGTCACTTTTTTCAGTGCTGTTGTAACTTTGAACAGTCACTAAATGAACTGTTGTAAATCAAGGATTATCTACTTAACTCTGTCCAGTGTCTTTAAAGCTGTACTTACAAGCACATGTGTCAGCCAAATACACAATCTACTCAGATTACTGCGGCCTTTTGTTTTATAAATCCAGTCAACAATCAAACGTATTAAGACAAAACAAAAAGCATTCCCATGGAAGAACTAAGTCAAGTTAATGCAGTTGAGATTTTTACAATGCAAATTCATGAAAAACGATTGTTTTTAAAAGTAATCTTCCCCGTCTATTAATACCTTTCTTATATAACACCTATTATCTCGCTTATTGTAAAATATCAATATATTTTTAAGTTTCTAAAACTTCTAAGTTTATAGTCACAGAAAGAAGTTTTTATCTGTTGCAAAAGAAAATCTCTCTTAAATTGAAGAATAATAATGTTCCAAATGTAATTAAAAAATGAGGATTGGCAGATCCAAATGTCCATAGGCTACATCATACTTAACTTGTGAAACAACCACAAAAACTCCCATTTTTCTGTTTAACCCATAGGGAATGGCCATCTGAAGATCAGGTAGGTTTATTTCACAGTTCCTCTGTCCAGAGGAAGTTCAGCATCCCGCACTGGATGCTGGGTTCCAGTCAAGCTGTGTGGTGTTGTCCCCACACCTCAAATTAAAGCACTATTAGTCCTCACTGGAATATTTCTAATTTCAGAAGGGGACAGTAGCAGTATTATAACTGAGACATTATTGGGAACTAGCTTTCAATTTAATAAATGTAATTGTTCTGTGAGCAACCTGTAGTAAATGCAATACAAATTCTACTTTCTAAATCTTGTGTTATAAAACTGTTTAATGTTTGTTGTTGTAGATTTTGTTCTATATTGGCCAATATATTATGTCTAAACGTCTATATGATGAAAAGCAACAACATATTGTCCACTGTGCAAATGACCTTTTGGGAGATCTGTTTGGAGTACAGAGTTTCTCTATAAAAGAACACAGGTAAAAAAAAACCTAAACTTGTAGCTTGATCTTAAATGCTATGCTAAAGTTTTGTTGGCATGATTTTATGTGCTACAAACATATCAATTTAGATTGTCTGCATGCTTAGTGAATTTATTTTTAATGTAGAAATCTAATTTAACCTTTTATAGTTCTGTATTGTATTTCCTTAGTAGCTGTAATAAATATACTGTAAAATAAAATACTGTCTACAAGAAAATCATCCAAATGTTGGCAATATTTATTTATTGCATTTATATACTTCTGAAAGAGCTCACAGTAGATTATTGGGGGCTGTAGATAAGAGCTTTTTCTATATATATTTTTAAATTACTAAAGCCAGTGTGATATAGTGCTTAAAGTGCTGGGCTGGCACTGAGGATACAGCTTCTAGTCATCTTTTAGCTTGGAAACCCTGGATGACATTGAGTCAAGACTGAAGATAGGCTGGAATCTGGATCCTAAGAGCTAACCCAGCAGTTTAACAGTATATCGTATGGCTGGATCTGAATGTAGCTTTAATAAGGCCATTTAGAATTCGAAAAAAAGGTAAAATATTATGCTATTTCAACCAACACTTCTAGCTTCAGAAGTGGACAAATGATTAATAAGTATCACCTAGGCTGTTAGTTGGTATAAGTAAATGGCATCAAAGTAAATGCAGATTTAATTCCAATCCTGCCTAATTGTAGTCATATTTTAGGCACAAAGTCAGTTGTATAAGGTTGGACTAATCACTTTCTTTCAGTCTAGGAACAGGGCAAGGGCAAACCACTTCCAAAAATGCTGCCAAGAAAACTGCAAGGACTTGTCCAGGCAGTTGTCAGAACTCAAGAGAAATTAAAAAAAGAGGCTAGGGGGAGGAGAATCATATATGCATATTGAAAGATCTGTACTGATTGCTGAATGGCTTAGAGCCCTCTTTTACTCTGCTTTTAGCAGCCATTTTCAGTTTTCTGTTTCTTTCCCAGAAGCTTCTGAATACATGCAAGCTTTTTTCATAATTGTTTTGTTCACTGTTCTTTATATCTAAAGCTAAGATCTTATTTTATCTTTAAAAAGGCAGTTATATTTGATGATTTCCAAAAACCTGGTAACAGCCACCCAGCAAGGTAAGTTTTTTTTAACAAGCTTGCACTACAATTGATGGACAGAGGGCTAGGTGCAAATAAGAAACCCACTGAACTATTGCATGGTTAAAATTTTGAAAAGGGAATAGGTCCTGAAATGCAATTATATAAATATTTGTTTAATCCTTTCTAACTCTATTGGTTAACATTTATTACTGAATTTTAGGTAATTCAAATTTATCAATTATAAAGTAATAACTAGATTATTTTAAATGTGTGTCTGAATTGCCAGCTTTCCTCTTTTGTGACTTCCAATATGTATTTTTTTGAAGACACTAATAACATAGCTGTGAATCAGTCCAGATGCCAGCTAGAAAATGGAAACATTCTAAAGGTGATCACTGATTTATATTACATTTATTTATTCATTCATTTATTAAATTTATTTACAACCCATCTCACCACAAGGTGACTCTGGGCAGCTTACAAAGTTAAAACCAACAAAACAATACAAATATACATATAGCAATAATATTATAAGTTATGGTAAAAATATGGGGAGGGAAGTAACAAGTTGTGCGGGTGGTGAAGTGGAATCAGCTATTAATCTACCAACCATCTCCAGTGTAGCATTCCCCCATTGAGACCCCAAGCCAACATGCAGAATCAGGTTTTCAGGTCCTTATGGAAGGTTAGGAGGGAGTGGTGTGGTGGCCTAGAGGTGAAGACATGCTTGCCTCCCACTCAGAAGATTGAAAGTTCAATCCTAGGTAGCAGCAGAGGTTTCTCTATCGGGGTACAATATCTGCGGCAAACTCCATGTAGGTATCAGGAAGGGCATCCGGCCAGTAAATGCTCAGCTCCATTTAGTTACCCTGACTCCACCCCAAATAAAGGAATTAAAGGGATGTAAAAAGGAGAAAAAGGAATCTCTCCCCAGGGGTAAGATGTTCCAAAGAGCAGGAGCCACAGGAGAGAAGGCTCTTCTGGACCTCATGAGCCGAAATTCCTTGATTGACCGGATCTGCAGTATACCTCTTCTGACGGTGCAGATGGGGCAGACATGTCCCAATGGGTTGAGATAATTTCTCAGGAATATATATGGTATATGCCTCTTTATTCTTTCACATGTAAATCTGAAATAGTTACTTAATATATTATTAAACAGGAAACAATACAAGAAGCCACTGAAGCAACTACTTCCCGAAGAACAAGATCCAGTGAAACAGGTATATAAATCTGTTGTTTTATGTTTCAGTCCTTAGAGTCATTTGAATATTCAAAGGTAATCATTGACTAGTAATGTGATTGTATATATTGTGTGAAAATAGAGTTGTTTATTGATTGGCTGACCTCTGATTGAGATCTGACTTCTCATACTCTTTAATACATTGGCTGTTGGCCTCAAATTTAACACTGGAATTTAACTTCTCTGTCTAATACAGTGTGTTGTGGAGATATAGCTAAGTGAGATATAGCAGCTTTGTTTATTGTATTCTGAATATTATTTATCCTATTGATAAATTTATTTCACACTGTTCCAACTGTTTTAGTGAAAAGCAATTGTACTAGAAACATTTTAAATCTAGTTATCCTTACTGTCATGTAGAAGCTTTTTAAAATCTTCATAAAATAATGTCTGCTTTTAAAAATATTTAGGAGTGCTGCTTTTAAAGAGAGTAATCCAATGAACAATTTTATGTAATTTGGAATTATATTGAAAATACTTTTTAGGGGGATGTCAAGAGATGTCTTAATGAGCCATTAGTATTTTATGCAAACATTTTAGGTAGTACTGATGATTTTCTTTCAGAATATGGAAAGAAGATTTAGTCCTCAGAATGATAGGAATAAGACGTAGCAATCACCTAAACTTTCTGGAGTTTAGGAATTGCATAGCAGAATTTCTTCATTCAGTTCTTTTCTAACACAAAATCAGAGATTTGGTAATTTGCTTAAGAGAGTTGTATTTTCCAACAGAAGATAGTGCTTCAGAAGATATGAATTATGAAAGACAAAGAAAAAGGCAGAAATCTGACAGTATTTCTCTTACATTTGATGAAAGTCTTAAATGGTGTGTAGTACATTGTGAGCAAAGCAACAGCAGCAGTTCCTCACCAAGACCAGTAAGTAGATACTAGTTTGAATTTTTAAACAAGAAACTTAACTATATTAAATCTGTACCACTGGAAGTAAGTGATAATAGCCTGAGAAAATGATACAATGTATTTTAAACTGACATGTCAAAAAAGAAGAAAACTAGTTGAGGCTTCTCAGTAAACATGCTAATTTGTTATCTGTAGAGTTTCTTCATCGGAAATAGTAGAGTATTGAATTCATGTCTGTATTCTAAGACAATAAATGGCTGAGAAAATTTTTCATGAAGTGAGATGCTGAAAGGCCTCTTAGGAAGTACTAGAAAACAATTAGTTCTCATGTATAGCACACTATACAAGAGGAAAATTTTTCCCCTTTAATATTTACTATGTTTTACCCCAATTCTGTTGCATTAGAATATACCCACCAAAAAGGTAACAGAATTGGAAGGAAATGTGGAGGTCTTCTAATCTAACCGTCTGCTCAAGCAGACAACGCTATGCCACTTCAGACAAATACTTTAAATATTTTATATTGTCCACTAGGACTCCAAGATCCTTCTAACAGTTACTATTACTGAGATAGTCATTTTGATGTATATGTACTATGACCTATATTAGCTTTCATAGTTTGAATCCTATTTTTGTTGATTAATTTACATAATTTGTAGGATGGACTCACCACTGTGAAATTTGTTGTTAGTAGTCTGAGTTGCATATTTCAAGATGCTGTATTTTGTCCACCTCCACCCACTACGTTTTCAAACTTAAATGTCCTTGTCCTTCCTGCCTAATGTGCTGTTTCTTATGGGCTTCAGCAATTTTAACTGCAATGTATTCTTAGCTAGTATATTATTACATCTAGAGCCTTTCTGTAAATGCAATCACAATACAAATTTTGCAAAATAAGAGCTGTTTATTCTGTTTAAATAAGCCAGTGGTTTGTTAAATTAGATATTCTAAAATAGAGGAAGCTTTTATTAAAATATGATTTTGAATTTGCAGAATGGGTAATAGCATTTTTGTGTTGACTGGCATTTTCTGCAACATTTGATTTGACAAAACATAATCAATAGTGAATCATTAATATTCAGTGATATCAGAACTTGTCTCTACCAGCTGGAAACTAGCACAGTAAAATATAAAGCTGGCTAAACAATTTTTTAAGACTTTTGTAGCATAACACCTGCTAAAATGTTAAATATTTCACACAGAACCATGGTAAGGCAATTCCTAAAACTGTATGACAACTCATGCCTTATGATCATTGTTGCTTAAACATAGTGTGTCTCTTCTGTTCAGTTCATACCCATGCCATTTCAATAATGTTCTTTCTTTAAAAAGATGAATGTTTCTTTTTAATTATGGAAGTAGCCTTGTTTTTAAAGAAAGAAAATATTTATTTCCCATACCAATGCCCCTCTACTTCAGGGAATATGCATTTTTCATTGTAGGAGCTACAGGCAATCTTCAGCTTGGGACCATAATTGGGACCTGAACCAATTGGGATTGCTAAACTGATGTGGTCATTAAGTGAGTCATGCCCAATTTTACAATCCTTTTGCCATGATTGTTGAGCAAATCACATAGTTGTTAAGTGAATCTGCCCTTCCCCATTAACTTTGCTTGTTGAAAGGTCTCTGGGAAGGTCGCAAATGGTGATCGTGTAACCCAGAGACATTGGAACCATTGTAAATACATGCTAGTTATCAAGCATCTGGCTTTTGATCATGTGACCATGGGGATACTACGGCATTCACAAGTGCAGAGACTAGTCATGTCACTTTACAATGCTGTCATAACTTTGAAAAGTCAAATAAACGGTTGTAAATCAAGGGATTTCTGTACTTTAATAAAAAAATAAAATTAACTACTTACTTAGAATTTTACTAGAATTTTGTATCCTATTAGCTCAGCTTTGTTTCCATTATTTCAGATGCTCTTTTTCATCCTATATATGCATTATAATTTTAGGGACCTCATCTCTTAAATTTCATTACTATTCTAATCAGAAACATTCTCTCTCTCTAGGATCATGCCAGTTTAAGTGAAAATTCAGACTGGTTAGATGAGGAATCGATTTCAGACCAATTCAGTGTAGAGTTTGAAGTTGAATCTATCTACTCAGAAGACTATAGTCCTAATGAAGAAGGTTTTGAACTAACAGATGAGGATGATGAAGTATGTATATTTGAACCAAAATCAGATGGAATGTTATTTGAGAAATGTAACCATATAGGAACACTTAAAAGTGGATATAACCAAGTGAACTATCAATCTCTCAAAATCTAGAGGTACATTTCTGTGAAGTTTCAGAAGTTCTGCTTTTCTTTGCTACTCACTATTATCAGATCTTTATGTAAGTCCTGATATATATAAAGGAGTCTGAATGAAGAAATAAAGTCTGATGCTGGGAGAAAATGCTTCCTTCATGAATGGCATATTCTTTATTCTATTTTGAAAATCAATAAATGAGAATATTTGTAGCTTGGGGTTCAAATGAGGGGTCCTTGGTGGTCTCTTACCTTGCTTGTTTTCTTGCAGGTGATTCATTACCCAAACTAGGATAAAGCTCTGAGCACTGATGTTACCTAGTTTGGGTAATGAAACATCTGCAAGAAAACAAGCAAGGTAAGAGACCACCAAGGATCCCTTGTTTTGAAAATAGAATCCAGGTTTTAAAGCTTTAGACAAAGTCTGGGTTTACTTATAGTGCAAAGTTAAGATGTGAGTTATTTGATATGGTTTAGCACTAATTAATGTTTTAATTTTATGAACTGGACCTCTAGCTTTTTAAAATAAATTATGTAGTACAATTGATAGCTGATTCTGGAAGTATTCTGAAAGAGTAGGAAGCTGGTAACTTTCCTTTTTATCTCAATCTTGTTCTCAAGGATAATTCCTAATAAGATTTTATTGATTTTAAAGTATTCTAAAATTAAAGAGTCATTTGACTTGGGATGGGGGAAATTAATGTATTTTCTTCTCAGATAGTAAAATAATTGTGAAATTTATTTTCATTGATGAAAGAGAATTAAAGTTTCACAAATTAACTTTAATCTAGAGTTGTAAAATATATTTTGTGTGAATTTTAATTAAAAATAATTTAATTTTTCATCAGGTATATCAAGTAACTATATATCAGACGGAAGACAGTGATATAGATTCATTTGATGAAGACCCTGAAATTTCACTAGCAGTAAGTAAAATCTTGGTTTGAGACAAATTGTACTTTTGAATTTGCAACATATTCCTTAATTTATTCCAGGAGATGACCCATCTGTCTGTAAACATACATACAAATACCATGTTTACCCGGAAACAAGATCCACCCTGAAAATTAACAGTATTTGCACTGCACCAAGGGGCCGGCAGGCTGCAGCCGGATCCCGTCCACACCCACGTACTTGCTGTCTCTCGTGCTGGCCACACCCATTCCCCAGGACTTATTTTTGGGATAGGGCTTATATTAGGCCCACCCCCACCCCCAAAATCAGGCTAGGACTTGTTCTGAGCGTGGAGGCAGAGGTGGGGGGGGAGAAGACAGGCGATCCAGATGTGCTGCGTGGCTGCTTGACTCACGGGAGGCTTGCGTGGTGATGCCGGCAACAGGCAGAGGCATGGGGGAGGCAGGCAATTCCGATGCCCTGTATGGGTGTTTGTTCGGCGCAGCCATAGGCAAGCTGAGACACTGTGGGAATGGAGTGGGTGGAGCATTGGGATTGCCTCTGCCTCCACCTGGCTCTGCTGCGCACTTTTCACCCAGAGCGAGACAAAGCTTTGTCTGCTTGCAAAGGGGACAGTTTGAAACAGACCTAATCACTTCATTTCAAACCGTTCCCTTTGCAAGCGCACGAAGCTTTGAGTCTCCATCATTTCTCTGTCCGGGTAAAAAGTGTTTGGTTGCCTAACGGGTGCTTGGGATATATCAGTTGAATATGTAGTATGTGTCTCCTTTGCAGAAGGGGTGGGGGGGAAAAGCCTGTTCTGATCAGTGCGTAGCAGCGTAGCGCGATAGGTGGGAGAAGAGAGAGCAAGAAAGCCTCTTGATTCCTGTGCACGTCTTTTCACTTTTCATTAAGTGTAAACGTGGGGGTAGGGGGAAGGTGGGGTGGGGGGAACGGAGCGGAGCTCTTCTCGAGTCTTCTCACTGCCCTGAAAATATGCAGTGATCGCCAAATCTTTACCAGCCGGGTTGTGTGTGTATTTACTGACTTCAAATTGCACTTTTCTCCCTCTGGAAGAGTTCCACTCCCCCCCTCCACACACACACTATTGGGTAATAAGAGTACACTTTAGGAAAGAATATATATTGTTCCCTTTTCACAAACCATTACATGTGAAATGATAATAATTTCCCTAATAATAGAATCAATGTGATTACATTGATGTAATAAAATCTGAATTGGGTATATCACCAAATCATTCTTCAGGAAATCAAGTATCTCGGACAGCAGAGTGCATTACAATAAATATGGCACCAAGTCTGAAATCCTGTCAGGATCCTCTCCTGAAATAATATTGGCGAAAATGTATCAATTTTAAATCGCTTTTCTTTAAGCATAACTGTTCTGTGGCTAAAGCCAAAGTGCTATGAATAGCTGTACCCTAAAGTATATTAAGCAGTCCAGACCCTGGCCAGTTAAAATACTTTTAAAATGAAAATTTAAAAGTATTTCAACTGGGCAGGGTCTGGACAGTCATGGACACTTTGCCTTTCAGAATATATTCACCTTATATCTTACCAGAGGCCAAAGCATCTGACTTAGGACCTCCAGTCAATTGCTATTTATATGCAAGGCTTCAATCTGTCATGAACGTAGAAGTAGTATAAGCTTTACATATTTATATATGTGAAAACATCCAACATTGTTAGCTCTTCATCATCTTTTTAGATTACCATGCATCTATGGCATAGTGCCACTGCTTTGACTTTACATGTCTATTTTGTACAATTAAAGATTGCAATAATCAGAGAGGGTTGTTTATAAGTTTTGGTTACAAATATGGCCTCTTCTGAGATCTTAGAGCCCATCATACGCACAAAGTACTTTATAGTTTATCTTTTATTTTGATAAAGCATTTGTATTAACACAAATTATTTCTATTTAATTCATCAAAGGATTATTGGAAATGCACAAAGTGCAATGAAATGAACCCACCTCTTCCATCCCATTGCCCAAGATGCTGGACTCTTCGGAAGGATTGGCTTCCTGATAAAAAGACAGAGATAGCCAAGAAGAGCAAATTTCTAAATCCCTCACCATTAGATCCTGAGGAGGGCTTTGATGTTCCTGACTGTAAGAAAGGGAAAATTAATGAAGATAAAGAAGAAGAAAGTGCAGAACAAAGTCCCGAATCTCAGGAAAGTGAGGCATATTCACAGCCATCTACATCTAGCAGTATGCTTTGTAGTAGTCAAGAAGACTATAAAGAATCTGAGAAAGAAGACATTGAAGACAAAGAAGAAAGACTGGAACTGGGGCAGCCTGTCTCCAGTGTAGAGCCTTGTGTCATATGTCAAACAAGACCTAAAAATGGTTGCATAGTACATGGAAGGACAGGACACTTAATGTCATGTTTTGTATGTGCAAAAAAGCTGAAGAAAAGGAACAAACCTTGTCCAGTCTGCAGGCAGCCTATTGAGATGATATTGCTAACTTATTTTTGCTAGCTGCAGTACAAATGATCAGTCCTACATGTAGAATAACACAGAATGCAATTTTGAATGTTTACAGGAATATATTTATTTTCCAAAAGATACTTTTAAACATTGCACTGCAATTGACAGTGTGATCATAACATTCTCCAGTTTAGTTTTGAAATTTGCCAAAACAGTAAGCGTGTGTATACATGATGAAGACTGATAATTCAGAGTTTATTCTTTATATTTAATATAAAGAAATCTTATTACGCTTGTATGGACCACAGAAATAAAGTATATATTATGTTCTAAATCTGAAACTGATTTACTTTCCTAAGGTGATCCAAATACTGTAGGCCAAACACTGAGGATACAATGGAAGGTGCTTAACAATGATTTTTAGTTGTTTTCCAAGTTTCCTCTTGTCTAACAGTTTTATTTTATCTAAGTGGTTATTGGCTAGCAAGCTAAGATTATCTCAAGAAGAGCTTAAAGCTGATATGAAAAAACTAGTTCTGACAGATCCCTTAATGCTGATTAAAACAAGAGGCAGACAGTTGTTTTGGGCCTGGACAACTTACAATCTGTTCCCAGTGTGAAAGCTCTACCTTTGACTCAATGAACCCAATGGAAGTTTTGGTGGTCTACTCGAGTTGCTTTCTTTAGGCCATGGTTACCATATTTGTATTGCTTTGGTGAAATTATAAAGGATGACTTACATTTGTGCTGTGATCAAGTATTATGGCAAGAATTCTGTTTAAAAGGTTTTTAGAATACTAATTCTAAAAGTCACTGAAATAAGATGTAGCATTCCAAGTACTTATTATTGTAATACATTCACAGCAAGCAGTGTAGAATGTGTGAGTTGCAATCTATAATTTACCAATAAACGATCTTTGCTTTTGTTTATTCTCCACATTTTATTTTCATATGGTAATTCACAGCAGTAATAGGTTATCAGTTTTCAGTCTTTCTTTGGTAGTAGGGAGAGGCAGCAATGTGTAATGTTGATTCTTTTCCTCCACATCTACAATCTAAAGATTGTAATGGTGATCAATTTACTTGAAGTCATATTTTCTAAAATGAGATCTGATAAAGAAGAGTCTCCATATTATGTTGTATTTCTTGGGCTATTTGGATGTGTGTGTGTGCGTGTGCGTGTACGCACATAAAATATTATTTCCCCATTTGTATTAATTCTGGGGCAAATGCATCAGTACTGTATTTTTTTTCTTACCTAGAATGTAAAAATAGTTTGTCATTGAAATATTTTCCCTAATTTAGAGTTCTCTTGACTTCAGAGTTCTAAAATGTGATTCCAAAGCAAGACGAGGAAAAGTAAAAGCAACAGATCATGCTTTTTTATACAGTACCATATCCAAAAGCATTTGTTATAGATGCTTAATAGGTACTAATAAAATAATCTCATTGGCTCAGGTTGCTCAGAGTAGGTTACATGTGTGTACAGATGCCATATACACACATACATACATAGTGAAAAAAAAACCAATTTCTTCAAGCAAATGTTTGCATTCATTTGTCCATTAAAGAGAAAAGACCAATCATGTAAAAAATGCCATTGGTCTCTTCTGACTTCTCATTTTTATCTCTAAGATTCAGTTGTGTTAGTATAGTAATTCTATTTTAAATGAAGGGCAAAGGGGATGTTTCATTAAATTAACCATAAATTAATAATTATACTGTGATATAATTATATAACTGTGACCTGAATGCACATTTTCCTATTCTCAAAGGTTGAAACAGAATGCAGTTGTTAATTCAAAGGCTTTATTATCCAGAATATCTCAATAAAATTTAAAATCTATAGTCAAGTACTGTTCAAAAGCAAATATAAAAATACAATGTTTTATATGCCTATATATACAAAAATTAGAAAGTTAAACACTGTAACAGTAACTGTACTAACACTGTTTGAATGAAGTGGTCTCAAAGGGCATCGAACAGGCTTTTTTGAGGTAGATCCCAGGGAGAAAATAAAGTCATATTCATAGGCACTGAGTTTTTCTGCACCATTTGGTAAAACCACTTCCTGTTGTAATGACATAAATCCAGGGAGGGTTGCCTGAAAAACAAATTTTAGTCTGTCAGTATGCTTTACTATGTTTACTATTCTTATTTTCAGAGTGTAACTTGAAGTTCCATTATCAATGTAAATCTTTGCTCCATGTGCAGAATGCTCATTTCATATTCTAAAGTCTGAAACACCAATTACTTCAAATCCCTCAGATTAATAGATGTTAAGGGCCTGGGATAGATTATACAAAATACAAGGAATTTTGGATAAGAACTGGATAAGAGTATTGCACTTACATTGAGAGTGTAGACTCCAGGAAGGAGGAGAAGGTAATATTCACCATTTTTATTGGTTACATAAGGACATATATGCCTCCTTCCTTGAACTTCCACTATCACATTTGCAATGGGTTTGTTCTTTTGATTCAGAACACGACCTTTTACACCTATAAGGAGGAAAGAAGAGAGGGTGGTGTTTTTATTTTTTTCAGGCTTAATGGAGAATTTCTTTGCTACAGATGATCACAATTGTGATGACTCTTTGCAGGCCCAATTGTGACTGAAGGGCAAGTTGGAATTTCTTGGCTGTGGCTGCACAATATAACAAACCTAAATTGTCAATAGGTAACTTACACATACATGCTTCCAAGTATCTCAGACAGAGTTAATGCAGATATTATTTCTCTATAGTGGTGCTATTACTGAGCTCCCTGTCCCTGAAATCTGATCAGCTCCTTGTTAAGCTTTAGGAAAATTATTACAAACCGGATTGTTTCAGAGGGCCTTTGATTAATATACTAGATATTGCCATTTATATTTATTGCTCTTCTGTAGGTCATTTTATAATTTAATATGTGATTTTATTTTAGGGAATTACATCTTTTATTGTTAGGTAGTTTGAAATAGTACTATATATGTTTTCATTATGATGACTAACCCACTAAGAGTCTCTGGAAAAAACATGAATGAATAGATAAACAATCTTTCCCTGGAAAAGGACTACACAAGGTGACCTGAGTGATGCTATCTATGCCCTCTCATGATGCCTGGAGGCTGCAGAGATCTGGATGGGGGACAACAGATTTCGACTTAATCTTGATGAAATCAAGTGGCTTTGGGTGCATCAAGCCTCAAAACTTCAGTGTTTGTCAACCTTAGTTCTGGATGCATTTGCACGTCCCTGATCAGATCCAGTTTCAATCTAGGGATTCTCCTTGATTCATGCCTTCTCAAAGAGAAGCTGGTAAGCATCACTAGGAGAGCTTTTGCATAGTTCCGGTTTGTGCACCAGTTGTGACCTTTCCTAGATCATGACTCCCTGTACTCATCTGGACTAGTACAATGCATTCTACATGGGGCTACTCCATTTGGAAGCTTCAACTGGTGCAAAATACAGGTTAGTAAGAGCAGTCTTTAGGGCCTCTATGATGGCCCATATTACATCTCTGCTCTGTGAACCGCTGGAACCAGTCTGCTTCCGAGTACAGTACAAGGTGGTGTTTTGATGTATTCTCATTGTGTTTTTCAATGTTTCATTTTTCATTGTTTATTGCTCTATTATCTTTTTGGACTGTTGCCTTCTGGCAGAAGATACAGAACAATTAAAACTCGGACCACAGGTTTTCTGAATAGTTTTTATCCCAGAGCTATAATTGCATTCAACAATGAACTAAAGGGCCACCATCAGTGAGCTGTTGGACAGCATTACTTGGTCTGTTGTGTGGATGTTTGGGTGGTTTAGGGGTGGGGAATTGTGGTGGGTGGGAGTGTGTTTGGGGATTGTTATGTGTGTTGGATCTGGTCTTTGGGTGTTAAGTGAATTTCGTTGTATGGGTATACTGTGTATACATGTACAATGACAATAAAATTATTATTATCTTCTTGTTCTGTTTACCCTCTTTTCATTTCTCCCTTTTTATTGTTGCAAGCCCCATAGCAAGACAGGCAGCAAATAAATTTAACAAATAACAATAATGAGAATATTTATCATATATACATTAAAATGAATTGAGCATGTAGAATAGTGAGTAGACACTATCAATGTACTTTTTGGAAAAAACATACTGCATGTTCACATATGAATTATAATTTGTAATTGTAAATGTATATTTATAATTCAGTCATTCAGCCACTTCTGATTCTATATGATTAGATGGATATTATTTTGCCAGGATGGTTTATCAATTCTGGTGGTCATCAACTTACAAGTGTTTACTTAATGGTTTCAAGTTATGACAACTGGGGAAAAAGTGATTTTCACCTGTCCCCGAAGTTACGATGCTCCCATAACCATAAGTTACATGATCACAATTCAGAAGTTTGGCAACTGGCTCCCATTTTACAACTAGTTGCAACCTTCCCAGCCAGTTTCTGACAAGCAATGTTAATTAGGGAAGCTGGATTTGCTTAACAATATTATCAGTGACAATTCTTGTAGAAACAACCCAACAAATATAAATTGTCCTTTTAGTAATTTATTCCACAAGATTTACAGCATATCAGATTCCAATAAGCTAAAAACAATAACATTGACTTACCTAGATGAATTTGTTTAATGTATTCAATCAGAGCAATTTTATTGTCATCCCAGAAATCTTGAATCTTATCTTCTGAGGGATAGTGACAACATGATAACTCCAATGTAATGTCAAAGCATTGTCCCCAAACATAATTATAATCCTGCATGCTACCTAAAATAAAATGTTCAATTACATCACTGAAAGGTCAGTCCTAAAATAAACAAGCATATTATCCTCCTGATCACTTCCATACTGCTTCTCATCCATCAAAATGTGCTCTTGATCTGAAAGCAAGCACTTCTGCATCATGAATGAGGCTGGACAACACCAAAACAGAACTTCTCTGCAGATGTCACCATCAGGTTTTGCAACTCCAAATAATTAATTATAATGCTAATTATTAATTTTATTGCTGCTATTGTCTAGTGACTGCTTCCACATAAGGGTCCACTGGGGAGGTGAGCGCACAAATAACTGCCTTGAACTAGTGTTAGGTATGGCAAACTGTTCATTCTGTATAACTTGTGTCTCCTCCCCATTACACGATAGACAATGGGAACAGTGCACTACTGCTACTTTAGCCTTTTCATACCTCTTTTTGTTGGCGTAACATATCACATAAGATCAGGCATACAAAATGATCTCACTGCTAAATATAATGCTAAAACAATACAAATACTGTTGAATACAATTTAGATGTTAGTCTAAATAGGTGTTTTAGCCTGTGTATTTATTCAATCAAATATACATTGAAACAAATCCAAAGAATTTAATATTCATGAAGCATCTAAACAGTTCCCCACTCTTCCTTATTTCCCTCTTTGGCCCCAAAAGTATGTGAAAATCTGTCTCTATGTTTTTAGCATAAAATTAATCCATATTGGATTCCATATTAATCTCAACATTCACTACTGTGAGTTCTTCAAACTCTTTATGGATGACAAAGATCTTAAAATCTATAAGTCTTATACTATCAAAGAAACAGAAGAGGCATAAGGAAAGAATGGGAAATTGTACCTTTCACTATATACCAGTTATATCCATTCGTAATGCCATCTTTAAAGTGATTCATATCATCACACACAATCCCTTTATGCATTGTGCGATGATTGTTAGCATATGTCCTTGCAAGATGAACAAAAACATCATCGTCCACTGTTTTGCTAACACCATTTGCATCAATTGTAACTGTAGAAAGAAGGAGGTTGCAGTGAAATTCATATTAATGTTTAGTCAATTTAACAAATAAATATACAAATATAGGTAATAGTTAGAAATCCTTTCCCAAGTCTTCCACAGACCACAGAATTTTCAGTTTTCTCCTACAAGGACAAAAAGATGATTGTACTTAGAGAG